CCAGGCCCCAGTCTCCAGAGGGGTTCCTGAGGCAGCAACAGGGTCTCTGTAGTCAGGCAGCGGACAGCCTCCCCCATATCCCCAGTCACCCCCCGGAAGACACCTCCATCCTCAGCCTTCAGGCTGCGCTGCCCCCACCCTCTCTACAGCAGCCAGGACCCAAGCCCACCTTCCCACTGAGTACTGACCCCTTCCAGAAACGAGAACAAGCCACGTCCCACCCAGGCTTCAGGCTCCGATCTGCTGCCTGTGATGGGAGCCAAATCCCACTTGCTGGAGGCCTGGCAGGCCCGCAGCTGTGTCTTCTGGTCAGCAAAGTCAATCATAAAAATTAGAACTGACCACCAACATTTCAACATTGCCAAATCCAGAGAAACCTGGATTTCCAGCTCTTCAGAAACGTCAAAAATCTGGCCACACAGAATCTGCATTTCCCAGGGCAACACCTGGCAGCAGTGTCCCCACCAGGGTGCGGGCCTCAGGACACAACACAGATGTCCAGCCCCGTAGGGCTCTGGTGTCTCTGCCCTCCCCATGGTGGCACCCTGACCCCAGGCCAGTGCAGACAATGGGTTCAAGCTGGAGGCTGCAGAATCATGGCCAGGCCTTGGGAGCCCCCTGGGTCCTGAATGTTTCCTCCACAGGTGTCCTCTGCACCCCCAGCTGCTGGTCATGGGGACCCAGGCTGCAGTTTCCAGCCCTCCTCAGCCCTCCCTGGCAGCCTGGCCTTCCCCATTAAGGGGCAGCCAAGTGCCACTGCTCAGCTCCAGCACGAATGGCCCCTCCCCACTCCCTCAAGCCGTTGGGGCCTGCCCCAGACATGACTCTACTCACTCGGCCCCCTCTGTACTCACAGGAGCCTGGCAGTGGGGGCGGGGGCCCGAGCGTGGAAAGAGGGCAGGAGGCTGTTTAAATCACCACTGTCTCCCATGCATAACAAGAGAGACGTCTGAAGGCAACTCCAGCCCCTTTGCCAGACAATGGCTTGTGTGGGTGACTGAGATGGCACCGCCCTCCAAGCCCGCACCCCAAGTGTGCCAGGTCTAGCCCGGAGCTCAGCCAGGGTGCCGCAGCCAGGACTCGGCCCCTCCATGCCCCAGCCTTCTGTGAGAACACAAACATCTGACAGGCTGCGCAGAGGACGCTGGGCTGAACCACCCTCCCTCACCAGTGCCCAGGGCACCTACCCCGGGGATGGGTGTCCCCCAGGCACGAGCTGAGAGGGGGATCTCGACCCCTGCCACACTGGCCCACACAGTAGCCTTGCGGTGGGGAGATCTGGAGGCCAGCACCCTGCATGCCGAGCACAGTACAGACCCCCACTCCAGGCCTCAGATGGGTGGGCAGGAAGGCCAGGAACAGATGTTTCAGGTCTCCCCTGTTTGGTCAGAGTGCAATGAACCCCGAGCCAAGCCCAGCACAAAAGCCGTTTGTGGGAATAAATCACGTAAGACACAAGCTCGTCTGTTTAAATTACAAACGCTGATGCTGTTATAAAAAATAGTGGCACGGCACTTTTTATTTTCTTTAATCAGAAAAATAAGCCCTGCGCTTCTGGGATGGAGGCCCCAGGTGAGCACCGGAGGAAGGGGCCTGCGTGGGTGGGGTCCTCATGAGCAAGTGCAGGGAACTGGGGGCCAGCAGCTGCCTGGCCTGGGAGCCAGGGACACCCACCCCCCTTCCTGACACCCGAGGCCGCCCAGCTGGGCGAGACCAGGCCTGCGGGACCAGGGTCTCCTGTCACTTGGCGCAGGCGTCCAGGTGGTCAATGCTGCTCTCTGGAGGGCCACTGGCTACAGCCTGCCCAGCTCCCCTAAGGTCTGGAGACAGTCAGAGCCCCCCCAAACACCCCCTCCCTTTTGGGCCAGTGGCGTGCCTCAGACTCCAGAAGACTCGAGTGGGGCTGCCTCGAGACCAAGTCCTGAGGGGGTGGCAACCCCTGACCACAGGTGGGGGCCGTGGAAGGGGCAGGGATGGGCCCAGGGGTAGCCTTGTAGTGTGAAGTGTGCCTGACTGCATGCAGGTCAACAGTCAGACGGGACACTGCGGGGGACTGTAGGGAAGCCAGGAGAAGGCGCTGCCCACCCTATGGGCTCCCCCTCACCTGCAGACCCTGCGGGCAACCCATCAGTGCATGCCCACGGGGGTGGTAGACGCAGAGTCCTGAGAGGTGGGGGTGGGAGCCTCCGGGTCCCCTGCAGCTCCTGACCCACCAGATAGGCCCGTGTGCCCCCTGCAGCTTGGGGGCCCTGGAGGTGGACACCAGCACCTCCTGACTACCAGGGGGAGGGCCTGAACTGAAACCCACACCTTCACCATTCGCCACTGGGCTATTCTGCAGGAACTGCAGCACCCCACAGATCCTTCCTGCCCAGCACACCACTCACTCACGCCCTCTCTCGCACGCACGTGCACACAGCGCGCATGCGCATGCGCACACAGCACGCACACACCAGGCTCACGCGCTCTGCACAGGTGGCACGCCTGGGGCAAGCGTGCACGCAGACTCAGATGCAAGGACAGTATAGTCAATTCAGAGGCACAGAAAAACGCTGAGGGGCCCCCAGCAAGCTCCCCGCCCTCGGGGGCTGTGTTCCCCTCCCAGGGCACGCACACCACAGGCAGCAACGCAGGTGGGGGCACTGTGACACCAGTGGGGGGAGAGGGAGCATGGCGGGGCAGCACGCAGATGCCGGTTCATCTCTCCTCCTGGTGTGGTGGGCCTCAGCCTGATCACGGCCCTGCAGGGGCTCCTGCCTCCAGCCGAGCCTCAATTTCCAATGACAAACAGCCCAGCCCTGTCTACAGAAGGCCTCAGGCTAGTCCAGCAAAGCATCTCCGGCCCGAAGGGCAAGGCAGCCTTGGCCCTCAAGGCCCTGCCAGGGTGCAGCTTACACTGGAGTGGGCTGGAAAACCCATATGGAGAGGTGCCTGCAGGCATCAGGCTCCAGGGCTCACAGATGGGGCCTGACGGGCCACGCCGGGGGCACAGGATCGGGTCCACCGTGACCTCAGGGGCCGGCAGGGATGGCCCAGGGCCAGAAGCGAGAGCCGCGGCTGACGGGCTGGCACCAGATCCAACAGGGACCGCCGCGGCTGGCAGAGAAGCCCCAGGAGAGGCCGGCAGGGTGGGCCTGGCTGCCCCAGGAGTGAAGGACGATCGGGAATGGGGAGCAATGGCTGGGGTTTGCAGGGCTTGTTGGGGCCCATGAGCGGCCGCAGGGGCTGGCAGGGCTGCTCCAGGCCCATGAGCGGCCGCTTGGGTGGGCAGGGCTGCTCCGGGCCCATGAGCGGCTCTAGATGTGTATAAGAGACAGGCCTTGCGGTGGGGAGATCTGGAGGCCAGCACCCTGCATGCCGAGCACAGTACAGACCCCCACTCCAGGCCTCAGATGGGTGGGCAGGAAGGCCA